CTTCCCCTTCTTCTTCTCCGCCTGCTCCTCCTGCTTCTCCTTGTCTCGTCCATCTGCTCCTCCTCCTCCTCCCCCTCCTCCTCCTCCTCCTCCTGCTTCTTTTCCTCCCCCTCCCCCTCCTCCGACTCCTCCGACTCCACCTATCGTTGCCCCCTGTTTTTCGGGTCGTCAGATCCGCCCGTCCGTCCACGGCGGGGCACCCCTGCCCGCGGGGCCCCGCGAGGGGCGAGGCAACCTGCCGCCACAGCGGCTGCCCGTGCCCGTTCCGCGTGCCGCGTGCGAGCAAGAGGCAAGAGCTCGCGATCCCAGAGGCCTGGCGCGGGATTTGCCCTCGGCACCTGCAGCTGCCGGGGAGCAAGGAGGGGGAGAAGGAGGAAAAGGAGAAAAGGGGGCGGAGGAAAAACAGGAGGAGGAGGAGGACCAGGAGGTGGAGGAGGAGGAGGAGGAGAAGGACGAGGAGGAGGAGGAGGAGGAGGAGGAGGAGGAGGAGGAGGAGGAGGTGTCGACTGTGCCGACACTCGCGCACGGGCAACCCCGTGATGTTGCGCGTAAGCGCCATCGTTTCCAATGTACCGTGCCTCGCCCGCGGCCCGCGTGAGCTGCGACACACGGTCGCTAGAACATTTCGCGTGGGGCCCGGTGCGTTTCGTCGCCCACATGGCTGGATTCCTGGGTTTTGACATCCAGGAGCCGCTTGCTGGATACAGTCGGGGCCTTGACCTAAGGAACCCCAAATAAGGAACGGGGCCCCTTTTTTCCATAAGTTAAACTTCGATGTCCTATCGAAAACCTAAGGAAAACCTGAAGCAAGCTGTGAAACACGTAAGGAACGCGGAGCCCCTCCCCAACGAAAAGGGTTCCTTCTTCAGGGCCCCGACCGTATACGCGTGGAGGATCACACTTTCTTTTTGTGAAGGCCGAATGTTGGAACACGCATGCGGCCACCTGCGTATCCAGCTCTCGCCCAGACCAGCCGCATCATGTATCCAACTTCCTGGTTGGGGGCGGCCGGGGGGTCTGAGTTGCATTGGCCCCTGGGAAATCTGTCCGGACGGGGGGGGAGGAGGAGGCCGAAGCAACTCAAACACGATCCTCGGAGCCTTCCCAGAATCCACCTGCTGCAGTTCTTCACCCCTGATGAATTTTGATTGTTTCGTGGCAAACAAGACGCCGGCTCGAACCCCAAACCTCGAATCCGTTCCCACCCACTCGCGCTTGCCAGCACCTCTGCAGGGGCCACCTCAGGTCCCCAGCCAGCCCCAGAGTCCTGGTGCACGTGGCCGGAGATCCTCGGGTGGGACATCCGGAGGCCACACGCTGTGGAGACACGCGTGGAGGACCCGCGTGCCTGGCCAGACGAAGGCCATACGAGGGCCCTACATGCGGCCATGTGCGCATCCAGCTCTCGCCCGGGCCAGCCGCGTCACGTGGCCGATTCAGAAGCCCTTGAACCCAAAAGTACGTTGTCATCCTATTTTGGAGGCAGCTTTCTACTTCCGCCGGCTTCCGCTGGCCTTCCCGTTGTTGTCATTGCCACTCCCATTGCCTAGGAAGTTTTGCGGGGGCGAAAGAACAATCGCTCAAAACTGGTCGGCGCGACCCGAGGTCGGTCGGTGCCCGAAGGGGGGGCGGGCACGGGGCGACGGGGCAGCTGTGCCCCAACCCCGCTCCCGCGCACCCCTGCCTCTGCAGGGGTGGCACTGGCAGGGGCGACCCTCCCCTCCTCTGGAAAAGAGGGGCGCTCTGGCCCCCGCATTCTAGCGCGGCCCAACCTGGCCTCAGATCGCCGAGGTCCAAAACTGAAGTGCTGATCTTGCCTCGCCTGCCTGGGTGAGGGGGAGTCCGAGGGGGATGGGAGAGCGAAGCCACAGCCCGATCACGCACGTCCTCTGCGGCTTCTTCCCGCCCCTGCCCGAAGCCCTCGTCTTGCATCCCTGGAAGGCCAACACCTCCACGTCCTTGGCCGCCCTCGATCGAATGGCGAGGCCACGTTGCACCTGGATGCCCGCTGCTACGAGCGCCCCATGTACCCTCAAGACTATCAGCGCCTCCTTCAGCGTGGTGTGGTGATTGACCGCGGAGTTCCACTTCACCTCTCCCGCGCCCGCGGCCTCGTTGTCGCCCGCTCCGTCCTTGGCTTTCGCGCGGAAGCCCCTGGTGGCGGCGAACTTCACTGGCGTGTCCTGCACCGCCTTGCCCATGCGGAGTACCACCTCGATCGCCTGCTTCGCCTCCTGCGGCTCCATGCCCTGCTCCGCCGCCGCCGCCGCCGCTTGTGCCTCGTTGGCCCCCGGCCGCCTCCGCGATGCGGAGGATGGCCGCTCTCGCCTGCGCATGTGGCTCTTCCCAGCGGGTTACCCCTGAAGTCCTGGCCCGTCTCCTGCACCCTCCCCCATGCCTTGCTGCCCTCGTCCTCGCAGTGCGCCATTGCCTGGTCCAGCGAGCTCCATCTTGCCCTGCGACTTGGGCGGGATGGCGAAGTTGCCGTCGCGGTGGGGCGCCCTCGCGACGTCCCCTCGCTGCAGCGCCAACCTCGCTAATACATTGCCCAGCGGCCTCGCGGCGTCGTCTGCCCCCCCATTGCCTGTGCCCCCTCGCCCGCCACGGCCGCCGCCCTCTCGCGGCGTCTGGACGCGCTGGGCACTGCCTCGGGGCGGGGGGACGCGTGTGAGGAGCGTGTCTTCCTTTCCGAAGGGGCATTTCTTCTGTGTAAGATCTTCGTCGGATAAACACCCCGTTGGATTGGCGTAGATTCTGCACGCTGCATGTTCGCGATTGGCCAGCCCCTTCTCTACTCGGCATTATCATGTCTGGCCGCACACATCACATCCCAGCCAGCGGCGACTGGAGTCTCAGCGACGACGGAGAACAGAAGGCCGAGAGCGGACAAAAACGGAAGGGCGGCCTCACTAGAACAAGAACAAACCACGCAAACATAAACTTCTGGCGCTCCGCGCGGATGTCTTGGATTTGCGCTGGAACCCCCTCCCTGGCGCGCGGAGCACGCCAGGGGCGGCGCCGGAGGCGCCGCCAGGGGGCCCAGACGCGGATCCAAGAAATCCGCGCGGAGCGCCACAAGTTTAACAATGTCTATGTGCTTTTTCTTCTTCGGCTCAACGCCCCAATCCTGGGGCGCGGAGCGCCCCAGAGACGCCGCCAGAGGCGGCGCCGGGGTGCTGAGACCGGCCACGGCTGCTCAGGGAGCCTGTAGAGGCCAACGGTGTGACGTCTCAGTGCGCGGCCCCAGGGGAGGTCCTGACCACAGCCCCCGAGGTGTTCTTCCGTCGTGGGTCACTGTCCTCCTCCTCGGATAAGTCGTCGTCTCCCCCTCCTCCTCCTCCTCCAACTCCTCCTCCTCCTCCTCCTCCTCCTCCTCCTCCTCCTCCTCCTCCCCTCCTCCTCCTCCTCCTCCTCCTCCTCCTCCTCCTCCTCCTCCTCCTCCTCCTCCTCCTCCTCCTGGGGCCCAGTAGCGGGCCCCATGGGGCCGCAGTCCAGAAACAAACACTGGGAGCAAACAGCATCGAAGCGCCGGAAGCTCGTGAGTCCCTACCAGAGAGGGGGCCTCCCCCCGCGGGCCGCGCTGGTCGCCTCTGCAGAGGGCGGGGGGCGGGGGGGGGAGCCGCCGCCGCGGCGCCGCCGCTGGGACCCGCGGGAGCCGCTCGCTGAGGCGCGGCGCCGCTGCTGGGAGCCGCGGGAGCCGTTCGCGGGAGCCGCTCGCTGGGACCCGAGCGGGGGCCGCGGGAGGCCCCCGCGGGAGCCACTCGCGGGAGGCGCGGCGCCGCCGCTGGGCCCGCGGGGAGCCGCCCGCGGGAGGCGCTCGCTGAGACAGGGCCCCGCCCTCCGGGGAAGGCGCTGCTTCGGTCAGCGGGCCCGCCCTGGCCAACGAGCACGCGTCGCCACGGATGACCGCGAGGCCGCCCGCGGGAGGCGGCCGCCAGGGTGCCCTCGGCCAGTCGGCCCGCCGTGGCAGGAGGAGGAGGAGGAGGAGGAGGAGGAGGAGGAGGAGGAGGAGGAGGAGGAGGGAGAGGAGGAGGAGGAGGAGGAGGAGGAGGAGGAGGAGGAGGAGGAGGAGGAGGCAGGCGGCGGAGGAGGAGCGAGGAGGAGGAGGGGGCGAAGGCGGGGAGGAGGCGGAGGAAGGAGGAGGAGGAAGGAGGAGGAGGATCGAGAGGAGGAGGAGGAGGAGGAGGAGGAGGATGGAGCGAGGAGGAGAGGAGGAGCGAGGAGGCGGAGGAGGGAGGAGGCGAGGAGGAGGAGGAGGAGGAGGAGGAGGAGGAGGAGGAGGAGGAGGAGGAGGAGGAGGAGGAGCGAGGAGGCGGAGGAGGGAGGAGGCGGAGGAGGAGGAGGAGGAGGAGGAGGAGGAGAAGGATGGCGAGGACGGGGAGCAGTAGGGCACGCGCCACCCTGCTCCGCAGCAGGCCGCGTGGCGTGTGGCCGTCCGGCGGCGGCGGCGCTCTCTGGGTCGGGGAAACGGCCTCTGACGTCCGACGCCTCTGGCCGCATCGGACTCGCTTGGCCACCGAGCAGGCCCTCTCGCGACGGGGTCCTCTGCCGTCGCCGGCCGCGGCGGAAGACCGCCTCGGGCGCGCTGGCGCCCTGGCGACGAAGCGGACGGCTCATGGCCCAGAGCTTCGAGGATCGCCTGCTTCTGCCTCAGGTGGCGTCGTGCTCTTCAGAGACGTCGGCCCTCGGGGGCCTTCGTGGGGGACCCCGGGACGGTCACAAATGGATCGGGGACGGACAACGACCCCCGAGCAGGCGGTCGGGACATCCGGCGCCGCGCATTGAAACATTTTTGTCGTCAGCGGCGAGGCGGCGAACTCCGCTCCAGCGAGAAGCAAGAAAGGGGCACTGACTAGCGAATTGGCCGGCGGGCAAAGAGGGGGGGGAAGGCCGAAATGGCGCATTGAAACACATCGCGTCGACCGATGTTGGAGGAGATGCGCAAACCTCAGCTTTCGCACCCGGGGCCTCCCAGTTCGCTCGGAACGGGGCCACGGCTCCGTCGTCCTCGGCCCGACTCCTGATGGCCCCACGGGCTCGAAACCCGAAGGGGAAGAAACATCATGCACATGTTCCGTCGTTAGGTCCGCGTGGGTTGCTCGGATCGGCGCGTGGACCACCGAAGCCTTACGTTCACGCCGCTCTTGCTCCTCCGGAGATGACAAGCGCACGCGCCACATAGTAGAGCTGGCAGGCCGAAAAGAGAAGTGGGGCAATCATGCCGGGAAGCGAAACGTCCAAACTGACGATGACCGCTCGCTCGCCAGCGGCTCAAGGAGGCATGATGGCAGGATGGCCTTGGGCACGACCGTGACGTCGATGCCGAACTGTCCGTACGACATCTTCCTGAGGCGAGGTGGAGCAAGAGAAGGAGCACGTCCGAAACATAATGAAGATGATGAGGGGACGGAGGAGGGGGAGAAGAAAAGAGAGAGGGTGCAAGAAAACGATAATGCCATACGCAGGAGGTAGATGATGATGCGACGCAGGATGAAAGAGAAGGCGACAAGCAGGAGTAGCAAAAGACGGAACATGTCCCGCGCAGGGGGAAGACGATGATGCCACAGAGGAGGAGGAGGAGGAGGAGGAGGAGGAGGAGGAGGAAGACGGCGAGAAGGATAGGGAGGCGGGAGCAGGAAGAGGCGGCCAGTCCTGTGACCTCCAGGCGCTGTAACCCTACAGCCCGCGACCCGAAAGCTGGAGCCCGGCACGGCAGAGGCCATGGGTCTCGATAGGGGCTCCGCGATGTCGTTTCCGAGTGCCGTGCCTGGGTTGACCTGGTCATCTCTGGATGTACCTCGATGCATCTGGAGCTAACTGGACCCATCTGGACATGCCAAGGTGTATCGACATTGATCCCGAACGGTCGCTTGGAGAAGAGCCGCCGAGCCCTCAGGGAAGGTCACATGGGGGGGCGTCGCGCTCCCCAGATCCTCAATGCCGTGATCTTTCGACAGCGTCGACCCCCAAAGGTCTGGACCCCTTCCCCGGGACCGGCTTGTCATCCCGAATCGTTCTCTGACGGTCCCGAGGCTCGGGAAGGGCCCCTGGAGGTCGTTCAACGAGCAGACAAGGACCTCCCGCTGTGACCTTTCCGCAGCGCAACGGGAGGGTCCGGGTCCTGAAGTGCTCGTCTACAGCCGGGAAGATCTTGTTCCGGTAGTGGGAGACCGGGTTCGACTCCTTGGGATGCGTGGCGCGGCTCTGGCCCCTCGCCCTTGCGCTGCTTGCCCTTCTGCTCCCGCTCCTTGCCCGCCCTCGCCTCCTCCTCGCCCTACTCCACAAAGTACCACATTCTGTGCTCGTGCTCTTTGTCCGCCTTCCCCTCCTCCTCGCCCTCCTCCTCGCCTCATGCCCTTGCTTGACACCACATATACTAGAAGAACTCTAGAATCGCTTCGCTGCGGATGTTGGTCCATTATTGGGCGTACATTTCGCCGCGATCTTCGCTCTGAGCCTGCTCCGCACCGTTTGTTACTTCTACTATGGCCAAAGTTTCGGCAAGAGTCTTCAGCTGCCGTTGAATTTCAATGAAGACGTTTCGTGCATCGAGATCATGTCGTTCAACGTTGACGCCAGTCCATACGTGCGGCCCAGGCGATCTCTTGTCAAATCGGCTGATTGGGCTAGATGCTTGATCCCAGTTCGGACCTGGTCGACATTGGTACGGAGTGAGGACACGGCGTCTATGATCACGTGCTGCTGCTGGCACGCTTGCTCTGCTTGTTGCAGGCGTGGCTCGTAAGTCTGAGTAAGCTCATGTTGTGCATTGATGTGTTGGACAAGTTGATTCACGATGTCGCTTACACGCTCCTGGTCTGCAGACCTTGACTGTTGCTGTTGAGCGGCGACTAGTCCTTGGGCAACACTTTGCTGAGCATTGAGTGCCTGCTGCATGTGTTGCAGCTGCCCTTGGAGGGCTTGTTCTTGCTGAGCTTGGGCTGCAGCCAGTTGTTGGTCTCGCAGTGCTTGCGCAGCTGCTCGCTCCTGCCGAAAACTTGCACGTATCCGATTCCAGAGGCAGCGCTCGACGACCTTGCAGCGGCTCTCGCCGCCGCGGGAGGTCCATCAGGATCCAATGCGCTCTGTCGTTGACTTTCTGTGACCTGTGGGTTTCCCGACGCTTCTGGGCGCGGGGCGAGGTTCATCCCGCAGGGCATCGTCGTGGATGGCGATGGCCTTCGCGCCGGAGGAGGGCGCGGGCAGGGCGAGAAGCCCCTTGGGCTTTCTCGCTGATCTTCGGATGCAGCTCTGAAGCGGGCAGGTCCTGTTGCCGGCGCGACCCTTTCTCGGGTCGGGCGAAAGGGGGGATAGCAAAGGGGGGGGTTGAGAATCAGCTCACGTAGCTGATTTTCCCGGCGCCTCCCGGCGCCGGAGGCGGCTATGTATCGAGGAATACACCCCTCGGTGAGGCCGAAACCAGCTGCATGCAGCAAATTTCGTAACCCCCCTTTCCCAATCCCCCCCTTTCGCCCGACCCGACTTTCTGGAGGCGCGGCGGCAGGTCGGTTCCATGCGGCTTCGGCCGCCGGTGGCGCTTCAGTCGGCACCAATTGTACACCCGCTTCGAGGCTGGTGCGTTATACGTCAAATGGTGTATCAGATGCGAGCGCCTCCAGGGCGGCGGTCAGTCCGTCGTCGGCCTGTGGGACCCATTTTGTTTACAGTGGTTCAAGTCACTCATGGCACCGGCCTGCAGGATCTTACGATCCCGCTTCGGCTGGCTACCTAGAGATAGGATAAGTTCACCCTTCGGGCCAAACTCGTACCAAAGAGATTCGGGATTGAACCACGATCCCTGTGGATGTTATTATATATTGGTATGCATATTAATCGAGGGAGGAAGCGCCAAGGGAGCGGCCGACGACAGCGACGACGACGACCCCACCCTTTTCTGCCTATCGCCCTTCGGGCGCAAGAGGCTGCGCGGCATAAGCGAGGCAGCCGTTATCGTCGCCGTCGTCGCTGCCAGAGGACGGAGCGAGAGGGCGAGAAAGGAGGGCGAGGCCCCCACAACCCAGGGCGGACCCCAGACCAGGGGGCGAGCAGGGATACTGCTCTAAAAATACAACATGTGCCGACTTCCAAAAGAAAACACACTGCCATGGGCGTCCAAGCCATGCCCGCCGCGCATCCGTCGGTGGCGGCGTCCACAGACGTGTAGTAGCCCCCCAGAAACAGCATCCGGGTAGAAGGAAAACATCTGCGGCATGATGATCCAGTCAGGGTGGTTCTCGATCGGCGCAGGGAACCCGACGATGGAAGGCCCAGACTGTCTGGGGAGCTGCTCGGTCCGAAATATCGCAATGCGGAGCGTCTCTTGCTGCAGCAGCGCGGAAGGCACAGGTCGCCCATGCGCACGACAATTAAATTATCTGTCTTACTGGTTTGCGGCCTCTGACGTTTGCAAGTCCAGAGCTTGCGCTCCAGCGCGGCGTCCTCGGACCCATCGAGGAAGCCCGCACACGTGTCGCTGGCCCGGCAGGCGGCCTTCGCCTCCGCAAGGGAGATATAGGACGTTTCGCCCTTGTCGCAAGTGCTCTGGATGAATTGCGCGTAGCCGTACAGTCGGACCTAGACCAGAAGTACACACCTCAATAACATGACCCCCTCCGTCGGCCGAAACAAATTAGCCTGGCGAAGGACCCAACCATATGCAGTTGTGAATACCGCAATTGTGAATATCTTCTTCGGTGGCGCTCCCTATGTGGCCACGAAGCGTTGTACTGTGTGGGTGAAACGCAGGGAGCAAGGGCTGTGCTGGGTGGTGGCAGACGCATGCAGGCGGTGCCACTGGGACCTTCGGTGGAGCCCCCATATGAGGCCACGAAACTCTGTACTGGGTGGGTCAAACGCAGGGAGCAAGGGCTGTGCTGGGTGGTGGCAAACGCATGCGGGCGGTGTCAGTAAGACCTTCGGTGGAGCCCCCATATGGGGCCACGAAGCGCTGTACTGGGTGGGTGAAGCGCGCCAGGAGCAAGGGCCGTGCTGGGTGGTGGCGGACGCATGCGGGCGGTCCCACTGGGACCTTCGGTGGAGCCCCCATTACGGGGCCACGAAACGCTGTACTGGGTCGTTGAAACGCAAGGAGCAAGGGCTGTGCTGGGTGGTGGCGGACGCATGCGGGCGGTGCCACTGGGACCTTCGGTGGAGCCCCCTATGGGGCCACGAAGCGCTGTACTGGGTCGGTGAAACGCAGGGAGCAAGGGCTGTGCTGGGTGGTGGCGGACACATTCGGGCGGTGCCACTGGGACCTTTGGTGGAGCCTCCCATGGGGCCACGAAGCGCTGTGGGTGGGTGAAACGAAGGGGGCACGGGCGGTGCTGGGTGGTGGCGGACGCATGCGGGCGGTGCAAGTGGGACCTTCGGTGGAGCCCCCTATGGGGCCACGAAGCGCTTTACTGGGGTGGGTGATACGCAGGGAGCAAGGGCTGTGCTGGGTGGTGGCGGGCGCATGCGGGCGGTGCCAGTAGGACCTTCGGTGGAGCTCCCGTATGGGGCCACGAAACGCTGTACTGGGTGGGTCAAACGCAGGGAGCAAGAGCTTTGCTGGGTGGTGGCGGACGCATGCGGGCGGTGCCACTGGGACCTTTGATTAAGCTTTTTATGGGGCCACGAAGCGCTGTACTGGGTGGGTGAAACGCAGGGAGCAAGGGCTGTGCTGGGTGCTGGCGGACGCATGCGGGCGGTGCCACTGGGACCTTCGGTGGAGCCCCCTATGGGGCCTAGAAACGCTGTACTGGGTCGGTGAAGCGCAAGGAGGAGGGAGGAGGGGGAGGAGGGATGGGGGAGGAGGAGGAGAGGAGAGGAACGCGGGGACCGTCTCTTCAAAACGAGGACCCAACACCACAGGATGGTTGGGAACAAAACACCCTAGGGTACCCTCGCCCAGGGTACACAAGAACATCCAACAAACACGAAGAAAACGAGAGTATCCTCCCCGATCAGACCTCGATATTCTACCCCGGTCCGACTGTAGCCGTCTTGCGCAGGAGGGAGCATCAGGGACTTGTTGGCGGCGGGCCCCGTCCGCAGTGCACCGATCTCCTCGACCCCCTCGCTTGCACAAGCCTCATCGACGGAAGTCACTGCGGCCAGGGCGGTCAAGCCGATCTTGAGTACGGGCTGCAGCGCCATGGCGATCACGCAGCTGACTGAGGACTGAACTGCTTGGTCTGGGCCCAACTGTTGCCTTATACCAGGTGCCGACCTTTCCGTAGTTGATTGTCGGTCCACGTGATCGGCATCAATGCCACAATGCCTGGCCCGCTGGACTTGCAGCTTGAACCTGGCGCCGTCAAACCGACAATGCAGGAGCCGACGGAGCCAGACGGACAAAGCAGAAACCAGCAGTACCAATGTGGGAATGGCTGCGGTGATGGCGGTGGTGATAAGGGGACGCAGATGGAAAGCGGGCACGCGGTGGCGGGGACGTGGATGGTGATGGTGATGGTGGCAATGATGACTGTGACGGGTGGCCATGATGGCGGTGATCATGATGGCGATGGTCATGAAGACGATGGTCCGATGGTGTTTTTTATTGTGTGGCTGTGTTTTGCACGGGGCTGGCGACGGTGAACTAGCGAGCCGTAGGGTACATCATTTTCAGGTCCGCACTGGACAGACGTAACCAATTTGCATGTTTCAAGCTTTTTTCCCGACCATATGTTCAGACGATCGGCGGGTAGGATCAATTGCTAAAACGAGTGGCCATAAGACCAAAGAGCCCACGACCACTCGGTCGAAGGCAAGGAAGCGACAGAGAGGCGGGTGAATCGACCGTCGTCGAGTATTGGCGGCGCGCACAAGGGGGTAGGGGGAGGGAAGACAGCTTCTTAGAAGCAGGCTGCTTCTTAGAAGGCGCCGCCCTTACATGTACAGAGAAAGCCCGCGCCTTCTAAGAAGCAGGGGTGTTTTTGAGAAGCCTTCCCCCCACCCCCTACCCCCCTCTGCGAGTGGCCGAGTGTAACTCGAGCGAGGGAAGAGGCAACAGCGAAGCCAGTGGCCAGCGTCGGTGTCACTTGTCAGGTCAGATGCCACACACAGCATAGCAGTTGCCACAGGGAGCCGAGGACTGCTTACTGGAGAGAGCGCCGCTGAATGTGCCGGTGCCCGCCACACTACGCCTGCGAGCACCATGGTAATGTGCGGACGCCACAGCGAGTGCGCGGCCACAACACCAGCCTGCGAGAGCCACCACAATACGGCCATTCCCCCTTGAAGCACATGCTCAACTATTCGCGATAATGCCCCTTGCTGGCCTCGCCCCACCCCCTGGTGACGCCACGATTCGCGCTGGCGCCGCCTGGCATTCCTAGGCATACCTGGGCAGTTTCCGACGACCCCAGCGCGAATCGCGACGTTACAGGGCCATCCCCCCGGTAACGCCCGCTGTCGCTCGGCGATCATACATTGCTTCAAAAGGAAGAAGCACGACCGAATGGGGGTGACCAGGGACGCCAGCACCTCCCTGCAGGCAGCGCCACCAGACGGTCCTGCTTCGAGTACGGCGCGAGCGACTGGTCACCCTCCTCGGGGGCTCCCGCCGAGGGGGGGGGGCTGGCAGCGCAAAGACCTCCACCCGCCCGCCCCCCCCGTCCCCCTTCGCTCCGCTCCCAAACCGCCCTCCAGCACCTCCTCCCCCCCCCCTCCTCCAGCCCTCCTCCTCCTTCTTCTCTTCCTCCTGCGCATGCTCCTCCCACTCTTCCTGCGTCTTCTCCTTCTCTCCCGCCTCCTCCTCCTCCTCCTCTTCCTCCTCCTTCTCCTCCTCCTCCTCCTCCTCCTCCTCCTCCTCCTCCTCCTCCCCCTCCTCCTTCCTTCACGCATTACGGTCTACGGACGTCAGTTATACAGCTGTTGCGACTGTCCTCCTCCTCCTCCTCCTCCTCCTCCTCCTCCTCCTCCTACTCCTACTCTTACTCCTACTCCTACTCCTTCTCCTCTTCCTTGCCCCCTCTCCGCGTTTCCCCATCCAGCTGCCACCCCCCTCTCTCCCCTTCTCGCGCGACCTTTGCCCGCCCCGCGGGGAGCAGAGGCGGAGTCGGGGCACCCTCCTCCGCCGACTAGCGCCCTCTTCGTCCTCTCCTCGCCATCCTCCCCCGCCTCGCCCCACCCCACCCCTCCTCTCCCAATCACCTCCCCCCCCTCCCCACCTTAGCTCGTCTTCCTCGGCTAGAGCTCGTCCTCCTCGGCGCTGCTCTCCTCGTCTCCCTAGCCCGCCTCGTCATCGACCCGATCAGCCCCCTCACCTACCTCCTCTTCATCCTCCTCCTTCCCCTCCTCCTCCTCCTTCTCCTCCTGCTCCTCATCCCCCTCATTGTCCACTTCTTCGATCTCCACTCATCCCCCTCATCGTCCTCCTCCTCCTCCTCCTCCTCCTCCTCCTCCTCCTCCTCCTCCTCCTCCTCCTCGTTATCCTTTTCGTGCTCGTTGCCCATCCCGTCATCATCGTCCACCCTGCCGTCCACCTCGACGTCGTGGGTGTCAGTCTACCTGTCTTCTTCATCGCCACCTAATTTCCCCACCCACTCCTCCTCCACCTCCCCTTCACCCGTCTCCTATAGGGGAATCAAAAGGTACCAATACCGCTACTCCCCGGACCTCTCCAGGGGTGCATTCTGACTAGAATTCCGAGGCGAATCGAGCGGTGGCGACGAGGGCCTCCCAGGAGACCAAACAAAGGGGAAAACGGGCGAAGGGAAGCGGTTGGGTACCTTCTCCTCCTCTGGCTCCAGTCACTAGTCACCAGCTGCTGTCGTAAGCAAGTCCATACCATCAGGTTGCCGTCTACGGGGCTTCTCTGTCTCCGGCTGGTGCAGAGGAGGCGGGGAAGGACGGGACAAGGATTAGGTCGGGGATGTCCCCCTACAGGCAGATGTTGGAGGAAACATGAGAAATATTTAAAAAATGCCCCCAAATGTTGAAACAAGAAAAATCGTCTTTTGAATCTTCCGCCTGCAGAGGGACGCGCCCGACTTAAGACATGGGCGAGGGCGGGCTGCAACGCCGCAGCGCAGCATATCCAGGGACACAGGCACGACCGGGCAGAACCCTGGCAGCGCCGCTCGTCTGCCCCGTCCTGTCCTGCAGCAGGAGCTCGACCACGGGAAACCGCCCACACGAAACCTAACCCTCGGGGGATCGCAAACATGGACCAGCGATCCATGGATTTGGCGCGCGGTCGCCAAATCCATGGATCGGGGGAAGTGCCCTTTCCAAAATGCGGCCGGTGCCGCCTCGTTCGGCGGCGACAGTCCGCGGTTTTCCATGGAAACGGGGCCCGTCGCGAATCCACGCCCCCTTGATCCATGTTTGCGATCGCCTGACACACTGGGACCCCAGGGCGTCCATTGATTTTTAGTGTGGGCACGTCACACCTTCCACAGCAAGACCATCGAAAACCAAGAAACTCAGGTCACCCTGGAGGCAAGCGGGGTGTTTCTTGGCATGGGTTTCCACCGTAGAACTCTGGCAGCGCCACTCGTTTGACTGGTCTTGTACTATCCTCTTCCTTCCCCCCCCAGCCATCAAACTGTAGTCCCTTCCCCCCTCGCGTGGACATCGGCAACGCCCCTGGCGTAGGCAGGGGACAAGCTGCTGGCCGATGAGGCCGGAACGACTCATATCAACCCCAAAGCGAAAGTCAGAAACAGTCGCATCACCCTTCTTGTCGTTCTCGTCCTCATCGCCCTCTTCCTCCTCCTGCATCCCTCGTCCTCACGAGCAGCTCAAGCTCGCCGCAACACCACCAAACGTGACGATAGGTCTGGTCGCTTGTGACCAGCGCGCGTCCTGAAGTTGTCTCGCAGCTGGTGGTCCCAGCGTGAGAAAACTCTTAAGCAGCTGCACGGCTGGTGGATGGCTCGCTTTCAAGTCTGCGCTACCGCGTGAGATCGATCCCCTGGGCAGCTCGCCTTCAAGTCTGCGAGCTCGCCTTATGTCCCACAACACGTCATGGCTGAGACTGATGACATCCGATGTGCGCGCACGGCTGGATGGGTCGCGCTCTTGCTGGATAGTTAGGTTCGCAAAGCATGTGTCGATCGGGCTCCATGGCTAAAGCCGAACTCTCGCGTGTGACAGACTCCCAACGTATGCCCCAAACGAGCCAACTTCCCAACAGCTGCAAGAATGGAGTGTCGCTGCTTCGTTCCAGCATCGCGCCGCTAACCGAGACATGTGCAACCCGTGCGATCACCAAGCCTGAAACGCCGTTGCACACATGGAGAGAACCGCGTCGCACTGGCACGGTGGGCGGCGGGCCCTCAGTAGTTCGATTGCTCGGGTCAGCGCCGTGCACGTGCGTCTTGACGCTTCTGCAAGCTACACTGCTTGATACTATGTCCCTATGCCGCTCGCTGCTCGCTGGAGCGCCTCGCGGATGTAACATCATTGGCATTTGGCATACGTGCATGTTTTTGTCGCGGGCTCGGCGCTGGCACACGTCGGAAAAACTAGAGGCGATGACAAACAGCTACTCTGCCCCAGGCCTGGGGAGAAGGCGGGCGGGCGGCCGCGAAGGGAGGCAGCATGGCGTGGACGGCGATTGGGACAGGATGAGCTTGTCTGGGTGCTGGCGCAGCGGCCCATGGACACAGACACGCTAAGATCCTGAACCCGCGACAGGCCCATGAGAACAACACGGCGCTCACCGGCGTTGAGAGCAGCCAGCCGCGACGTACGTACGGAGCGGGAGCGTGGCACCGCAGGGTGCATCGTAAGTCATGGGTGTTGCCACCTGGCTCTACATACCATGGTTTGTCTTTCTCCTCTCCGCCTTCTCCTCATCCAGCCTCTCCTCCTCCTCCTCCCCCTCCTCCTCCTCCTCCTCCTCCTCCTCTTCCTCCTCCTCCTCATCCTACTTACCCCTCGTCCCCTCTCGCTCATTCCCGCTCTTCTTCTGCACTTCCACGTGAGTCTCCCTCGCCACCTCCTCCTCCGCTCCAGTGGCCCTTCCCCGTCAACTTCAAGCTACATCTCCGCCAAAACGGCCAACATCTACTTTGGTCGGACCTTCCACGCCCACTTTATTATATCCGTCTGGTCGTCCACCTCCTCCTCCTCCTCCTCCTCCTCCTCCTCCTCCTCCTCCTCCCCCTCCTCCTCCCCCTCCTCCTCCTCGCCCAGACCCCCGCCTGCTACTCGCCGCCGGTCCTCGCCGCCTGCCTCCTCCCGCTGCCGCGCCCGCCGCGGGCACCCTCCCTCGGAGTCCCCGTCGCCGTCCCCGCCCCGCGCCCTTTGCCCTCGCTATCGCCCCGCTCGGGCGCACGCCGTCCGTCGACCGGCTGCCCATGTCCTCGCCCGCGTCCTCCACACTGCGCTCGGCCCTGCACCACCCCAATCCCCCCCACTTCCTCCCCAGACAGCCCGCTGCTCAAGTTGTTTCGATGCTTGGGCCCCGGAGGTCTGGACCACTTCCCCGGGGCTGGTTTTTTGTCCTGACTCGTTCTTTGACGCTCCCGAGGCCCGGCGAGGGCCCCCAGAGGCCGAAAACTGTCAAAAACAGCCTGCTCCAATTTTCGCTGGAGCGTCGGATCTCATGGTCAACCTCCGTCCCTCCCTCCCGCCGAGCCCGACTCCACGAACCTCCCCCTGCCGCGGCGCGCAGGCGCCTTCCAGTCCATGACCACGACGAGCACCCTCTTCGTGCCCCTGGTCCACCCCTGGGCGAGGGGCAAGGTTATGGGAGAGAGGGGTGAACTCAGGGGGCGGGAGGAGGAGGAGGAGGAGGAGGAGGAGGAGGAGGAGGAGGCGGCCTTGTTTTGCTGTAGGCGACTGCTCAGGCAAGGTCCAGCAGAGATTGACAGGCAGGCATGGAAACGGTTTAAAATGTATGGAACCACGACAAAAATAAGTCCAGCTGTCACACAGATAAAAACCCAGAGTAGACATCACTTCTGCTGATCCGCCAAGCCCTGCACAATAGGCAGGAAAACAACATTCGAATTTGCACCAGCTGCCATCAGCCGAAAGGCCAGCTCCAAAGCTGGGGCCCTCAGCGACGGCAGCTCTTGCAATTCCGAAAGCACGGCATCGCCATCAGCAAAACGGCAAAGCAATTCAACATCCATGTCGTCCAACTCCTTCGTGTCTTGTGAGGCACCAGACTGCAAGCCCGTGGAAATGCCTTCATTCGCAGCCCCTAGAACAGAGGCAATCGTGCAAGCAGGAACGCCTGAAACATCTGGCTGCTCCTCAAAAACGGGCTCGATCACATGCGGAGCCTCCTTCTTATCGTTCTTATTGCGCCGATTGTTCTTCTTCTTGGACTTCGGGGCAACGTCCGTAGCGCCAGCTGCCGCCGAGGATAAACGAGGAAGACAAGGAAACCACATCACACTCGATATGAACACCGCCACTGTGGGCTGACTTGTCAGAATCACCGCAACTGCGGGCTGACGTGCCAGGGCCAAAGGAAAAGACATCGCCACTAAGGGCTGGCATGTCACAGGCCTCAACACCGATGTGCGACTCCAGGGCGCCGCCACTATCGGCTGACATGCCAGAGCCTTCCTGCGAGACACCGCCACTCAGGGCTGACATGTCGGGGGCTACACCTTCGCCACCAGCATCAGGAAAATCCCCGTCGCCAATGTAAAAGGTCAGCGTTTCCGATGTGGTGTCCGTGGGATTCGCGATCCTGCCGGCGGAAACGGAGGCGCCGGCGGCGTAGTCGGGACAGGCGGCCGTGGGGGCCGCCAGCCCATCGTCATAACTGCGACATACGCCATGTCCGGCTGCTGGCCAGCCGGCGACTCCTCCTTCAAGCGCTTGAGGATGCTTTTGTAGTCGTTCAACATGTGGTTGCGGCGCCTCTTCCTGTGCGCCGTTGGGGTAGAAGTGCTCGTAGTAGCGCCCTGCGCGACCGAAGAACCCAGCGTGTCCTCCACCATGGCCTTGGGAAGCAAAGCGGGCTCCTCCGTAGCAGCCAGGATGGGAGACGAACGGGAAACCCCACGCCATGGGGAGAAGGGCGAGACAACCGGAGCCTCCACCTACGGCATCACCTGCTTGTCGAACTGCTCCTTCGCCGTCTGCTGCGCCTCCACTGCGAGGCGGCAGCGCTCCCAGCGCGGAAGCAGCTTCACTGGCGCCGACGCGTCCTGCTCCGCCGCCGCTGGGTGCCTGCAGCCATGTGCGGGGGGCGGCGGCGGCGGCGGGTGGTTAAACTGGCGCTGCAAGTCCGGCATCGAGAAGAAAAACCTCGAGCGAGCCGAAAGCCTCAGCAAAGGCTGAGACGCGCGCCCCGAGGTCGCCGTTGACGAGGTGCACCGGCACGAAGAGGCGCAGCTCGGGAATCTTTGATACCATCCACCGGTGTCCCCCAGCCTTCGCTGCCGCACGCCAGGCGGAAGCGCTCAGCCAGCAGCACAATGGCAATCAGCCCTCGGGAGGCGCGAGCCGTCAAGGATCCTGAAAAGGCTCGAGCCCGAGCTTGAGCCAAAATGGATACGGAAGAGGAGGAGGAGGAGAAGGAGGAGGAGGAGAAAAAGGAGGAGGAGAAAAAGGAGGAGGAGGAGGAGAAGGAGGAGGGGGAGGAGGATGGGGAGGAGGAGGAGGAGGAGGAGGAGGAGGAGGAGGAGGAGGAGGAGGAGCAGGAGGAGGGAAGAGGAGGAGGGGGGTGAGCTCAGGGGGGGACATCGACCCGAAATCGGCGGCACATCGCCGACAGATCGGCGATAGGCCCCCGATGAAGACACCGCACGGTCCTGGGCGGCATCGGCCCCCAGGGCCCCCTTATCGGCGATCCATGGGCCGTTGGGGGTCGACGCATCCCCCCCGAGCCATTCCCCGTCCGCCATGCTTTTCGGGCCATCCTTCTCGTCCTGCTCGTCCTGCTCCTCCTGCTCCTCCTCCTCCTCCTCCTCCTCCTCCTCCTCCTCCGCCTCCTCTCCTCCTCCTCCTCCTCCTCTCCTTGTCTCCTACTAGAATGCCCTCGGCGACACGCAGCTGCTGGAAAAAAGCCTCCCGTGGCCCGAACGGCCGCCGGGACAGACGACAGCGCCCCCCCTGCAGAGCTCGCTGGGAGGAGGAGGAGGAGGAGGAGGAGGAGGAGGAGGAGGAGGGAGGGGAGGAGGATGGGGGAGGGAGGAGGAGGAGGAGGAGGAGGAGGAGGAGGAGGAGGAGGAGGAGGAGGAGGAGGAGGAGGGGGGAGTCGTCTGGCCCTAGGCTGGAACGTCAGGAGGGGAACGACCCAGGACGGCCAGCAAGGGCGTTATATCCCCCCCGGTGGTGGCGGGGAGGGAGGAGGATAACAATTATGAACCAAACCGAGCGCGTTCCACGACCCGCAAGGTAAATGCTCACAAATGACCTGAGTCTGCCGCGTGGGATTTGCAATCCATAACATCGAAGCGAACACGTGCTTTTTAGACGCATGCGAGTAGGAGACCGACTACATAATGCATTTACTCCAAATTGGCTTAGTCGCCGAATGTACGAAAACTACGCAGAATGCTCTGTAGATCTACGGAGCATTCCGTTCACAGACCCCCGACTTCGTGATTATTAGAAAGTCGACCCTCAGAGGCTTTGACCCCTTCCCCGGGATCGGTGTTCCTTAGTAAATAAAGGCCCCTGGAAGCTGAAAATAGCGAAAACCCTCCCGTCGTGACTCCTTCACAGCGCGAGGGGTCTGGGGTGCAATCAGACTGCACCGAGGGCAAACATTGCTCTGAGGACAGCGTTCAAGTGGCGGTAGACGAGACTGCCTCGGTCAGTGGCCCCGCGATCCCAAGCTGGAATTTTCTCGCTGCGTGCGTGTTCGCCCGCCTTCGTGCCCCCGGGACCCTCACATATCGATCTGGCCCGAAAAGCGAGCCAAAACAATTGAGTCTTGGGCTCTGGTCTTATGTTGTTCCCATCGTACTTCAGGACCACATCCCAAACAAATAATTTCGAGCACCCAGAGAAAAGTCGCATGAGTGCCGAGACAGTGTCAGTGTCGAACGAGTGTCTCCCAGGGCCCGACACGTGAAAACCCTACAGTTTCGGCACTTTCTTGGTGCTCGAAGTTCTTCCTGGTGATCAAGGCTAAAGTAGCTTGGAACATCATAACTCTGTCCGTGATTGGTCACGACGTAGCAGTTTCTGCGCATTGTCAGCTTTCTTGGGGGCACATGCTTTGCCCCGAGTGGGCGAACGGCGAGACGGCCGCGGGGGTCGGAGGGGGCGGGACCAGCTGCATGCAGCAGACTTCGTTACCCCCCCCCCTCGGGGGCGGCCAAGAGGGGGGGCGTCCAAGAGGGGGGGGGGGAAGGGGGCCTGGTCATCACCCCCTCTCGGCCGCTCCCCACTCCCTCCCCCGATCCTGCCCCATCGTCCGGCCCGAGCTGACCGGTGGGGTCCTTCGCTCGCCCCTCCTGGCTCCCTGCAGGCTTGGTAAGGCAGCCGCCAGCGGGTGGCGCACGAACCGCCGTGTAACCCGCCTCCTCCTCCCGCGTGGCCGGGGCGGGCACGCAGGCAGCCAGCCTCAGCGCCATCCGGAGAGACGGCTTGCCGCCGCGTCGTGGGAGCTGCCTGGGCGGCCCTGCCGAGGCTGCTCGGGGGGCTGCTTCCCGCACTGTCCTCGCACGTACAGTGGGGGCGTTGACCTGAGGAACTCCGAATAAGGAACGAGGCCCCTTTCTCCCATAAGTTGAACTTCGATTTCCCATGGGAAACCTCAGGAAAACCGAAGGCAAACTGCAGAACAATCAAGGAACACCGAGCCCCACCCCAACGAAAAGGATTCCTTCTTCAGGGCCCCGACTGTAACCCGAGGCGCACCGCGGGTCGGCGCCTATCGCCGCCTGCGTAAGCCGGAAGCGCATGGTCGCGGCCGTGGCCCTTGCTCTGGGCCGCCGTCTCCGTCATCCTCTTCCGACTTCTGCACCTCCTGCGCCTCCGCCCTCGCTCCTCCTGCCTGCCTGCTCCCGCCGCCTCCTTCCCCCTGCCTCCTTCTGTCCCCACTCTCCCCTCCCCCGCGAGCCCCTTGGCGCATGTCTCCTTCCTGCCTGATC